TGATGACAGTTTTCATTTTTGTGTGAACTATCCCTTTAAGAACTTTATAATATGTGTAAATGGAAAACACCTCATTTATAAGTGTCTCTAAATTACAGAGACACTGGTTTTTATCTTTAATCAGGCTCTTACTGAATTAACATTTTACTTAAATTAAAATTAATTAGAATGAAACATTTAAAAAGAAATAAACTATTAAAGTTTGTTTACATTGCAGTTTGTTTACATGCATTTTACCTTGTCGTGGCTGTTTTCAGGCAGAACCTTTAATGTTGTCATATCACACAACTGTATAACACAATTCTGTGTCATTTCTGAATGGATCGAGCGATTTGCGCTGTTTATCTCTTATAAATCGTGGCGGAAGCGCAGCTGTGTGGGCCGGGTAGCGCCGCTTCACACTTTTGGAGTACTTGCTTTTTGCAGTTTCGCGTGGGCTGTAATTTAAAAACAGCGCCTAAAATGAGGTCTCCCTCGCTTCGGCGATCGACCCACCGGTAATGTCCCGGTGCTCCCGATGGCTAGTAGCTACATCGCTATGTTCAAGTAAGCTAGATATGCCCAGATGCTGCGCAATTAGGCTTATTTAATATCATGATGAGTCTCGAGTTCAGTATTTACATTAGATCTGTGCAGATTTGGCTTACATGAACTTCCTCAAGAAATTAATTAGTAAACATAATTTACGAAAAGTAACCCGCCAAATTGGCTAGTGATTTGACAGCGTTACCCGCCACAGCTGATTTTTACCCGCATTTGGCGGGTTGGCGGGTGTTAATTTCAAACCCTGGTTACAGAAAAATGCATTAAAAAAATTAAATGGAGTTTGGATGGCACCCGGTGGCTGTTTGTGGTATAACGCCCTAAATAAAATCTCACAGAAACCTACATTTTTTTCAGATCAACTTCAAATTTGGAACATAACTTATTTAGACAGAAGGCTTAAATTTTATAGCAATTTTAGAGTAAAACCTGTTATGTAAAATATTTATTATATATAAAATATAATAAAATTAGTACAGTGTATTTTCTTTTTGATACTTGTATTTATTTTTTTTATTCCACTTTTGCAATAATCTGCTGATTGTCTTCTTTAAAAAGAGACCAACCTTAGGTCTGTATTCCAACGTGTTTATAAATTACCACAATTTAAGTTTGGATAGTGCACTTTCATGCCTATTTTAAAAAATGGGGGGTGACAGTTAAGGGGTTAATCGTTCAGTGTTCGTATTTGATCTGAGGTGACTGGGTTTTATTTGCATATACTGTACTGGCATGGCAAGGATTTACATACCTAAGTAGGCCTACCTGTCAAGAGTGTTCACTTGCCAAGAAAATGTCAAATACTCTAAGGTTACTTGAGGCCAAGTTAAACCATGTCAGCATATTATGCAGTGCAACAGTAAAATGGGCCAATATGGCCATAATTTATAAACATATACATAATGCATAAATTAATTGCAGATACCGTAATATCAATTGCAATTCATGATCATTATAATGATGAAACGTGAGTAGAACGCAACATTCAAAGCAAGCCTAGGCATGACGAACTGGTATCTGCTGCACAGAATGCATTTTTGGAGGCTTTACATAAACCCATATTGTAAAAGAGTGCTAACATAAACTGTGATAGTATCCTAACAAGCTGCATACATTTTATAATGCTGGCACAGAAATAAACTGTGCACATCTGGCCAATTTTTGTTTCTTTTGAGGGGGGAAATAATAATTTGCATATTGTGAAACATGTTGGCCAACATTTTTTTTCTGTGGCAAATGTGAAGGATTTTAGTTTCTCAGAATGACAAAGACTTTCTGCCAATCACTTCTTTGTTAATAAACACATAAGCTGGGAGTTGGGTGGGGCTTCTGCTTTTTTAAAAGCATAAAGTAGGGCAAACGTGTGTAAAAGCCCCTCACAGACAGAGAAGACAACCAGGCTTTTGGGTAAAATTTCTTGTTCCAGTGATTTGTTGCATCGTTGAAGGTACATTTACATTTTATTCACTTCAGTAATGCAATAAGTTAAAGTTAATTAGTCTAATAGGAATGGATGGTCTATATTTTACTTGTAGATACAAACTAATTGGTGGAAAACACACTTTATACTAATGAAAACTGATTGAATTGTATTAATGCTTGTATGAATTTAATTACATTTAATTTTTTCATTTATTCTGTCATCTTTGCAAAGTAAAGTACTTGTGTGCTAGAGTAAATTTACTGTAAATTTCTGTAAGAAGTTATTACACACTGTGTGCATACCTGAAGCTTAAAGGGGTCATATGATGCGATTTCAGTTTTTCCTTTCTCTTTGGAGTGTTACAAGCTCTTGGTGCATAAAGAAGATCTGTAAAGTTGCAAAGACTAAAGTCTCAAATGCAAAGAGATATTCTTTATAAAAGTTAAGAGTCAGCCACGCCTACCTAAAACGGCTCATTCTAACACGCCCCCACATACCTACGTCACTATCTGGGAAGATTTGCATAACGCCGCCCAAATGTTCACACAAAGAAAGAAGGCATAACTTTTATTCTCGCTGTAGTATTGTTGCCGCCGCCGCCATGTCGTGAAGGCGCTGTGTGCTTCGTTGTGAAAGCGAAACTACTTTGTTTGGCCTTCCAAAAGAGGACGATATCGCTTCGTCATGCCTGGAGCTGATCCGTGCTGGTCGCTGAGGAAGTACTTCAACTTCGCACTGTGGATCGCGGGATCGGCTTTCACCGTGGACGAAGCGGAGTCCAGCCCAGGGTCGTCACATGTGGTTGCCGCAGGCATCACAATATGGTAAGGGACGTAACATTTCCGTTACACGCTTGAGGAATTCGGCCAATCACAATGCACTGGATAGCTGGCCAATCACAGCACACCTCGCTTTTTCAGACCGATGAGCTTTGTAAAAATCGATGCGTTTCAGAAAGGCGGGGCATAGAGGAGAAACAATAATGTACAGTATGTGGAAAATAATGTGTTTTTTGAACCTTAAACCGCATAAACACATTTCATTACACCAAATACACAAAATAATGTTCTTTTTAGCAGCATCATATGACCCCTTTAAACATTAGAGCATGGCACTAACAGCAGATAAAATGTATACTATGAATGCAGTGTAAGTTGCTTTGCATAAAAGCTTCAAGTGCCAAATGTATATGTAACGTAAATGTAAAAAAATAAATAACATTATGGAATTTGTTTAGGTTTAATAGAAAATGTAGACAATTATATCAAAAGACTAGAACAGCAAGACATGCAAGACTGCAAGATGCATTGAGCTGTCAGAGTATACACCTCTTAAATGATTTTAAAATGAAGATAAACAGTTTGGGTCTGGGATTTCTGGCGGCAGGGAATGTCATGTGGTAAATTTGCTGGACATGAATGTGACAGGTAAATTTTTCACAGCATTGTAATATATTTGTATTGTTATTGTATTTCCCTCTTAAAAAAAAAAATCCAGACAGATTTCAAAATGCATCCTCCAGCGGTTCCACATGGCATGTGCTTAAAAGTAATAAACAACCGGAACATGAAGGGTGGCATGGGCTCTGAAACAAATCCTCTGAGGTTCATGGATCAGGACTACAACGTTTTACAAGACTACTGTCTCAAGACAAATCAGAGATTTGTTGATGAGTTTTTCCCACCAGATCCCCGTTCTATTGGCGAAGGGCTGCTAGATCCAAAGGTTATGGCCAGGGTGGAGTGGATAAGACCAACGGTATGTAGGCAGACCTGCGTTTTGCTTGAGGCATTTGGCAGGTGTGTTCTGACAATATTGCACAAAAATATAAACGTATATGTGTGTTATATGTGTAAAATATACACTTTTGTTGAAAAATAAAAGAGTCTTAATTTAAAGTCAGCTGACTGTGACAAGCTAAATGCTTACATTTTTTTTAAAAGACATAATAAACTTGACCTGTAGTAACATATTACAGCAGATTCCGGTCCTATTCAGAAAGATTAAAAAGAGAATGGCATTACTAAAAACAGGGAAAGGGAAAATATCCCTTTCACAGAATGGATCAGTTGACCAATACTGAAGGTGTATTACTTATTTTCTTTCAGGTCTTGTGTCCAAACGCAGCTGAATTGATTGTAGAGACAGTGTCCAGGTTTGACTATGCCCAAGGGAATGTAGGTATGTCTGTGTAACCACAATATTGATGTTTTAGACCAGGGGTGCCCAAACTCGGTCCTGGAGGGCCGGTGTCCTGAAGAGTTTAGCTCCAACCCCAATTAAACACACCTGAACCAGCTAATCAAGCTCTTACTAGGCATACTAGAAACTTGAAGGCAGGTGTGTTGAGGCAAGTTGGAGTTAAACTCTGCAGGACACTGGCCCTCCTGGACCGAGTTTGGGCAGCCCTGTTTTAGACCAAGAGTTTCCAACCCACATGTCCTGCAACACACTTGCCTAGAGGTTTCTAGTGAATCTGTAGACACTGATTAGCTGGTTCAGGTGTGTTTAATTAGGGTTGGAGCTAAACTCTACAAGAGCAGGTTTGGACACCCCTGCGATCAGACAAATTATAAATACAAATTTGTTTGCCCTGGGAAACTTTTACACCATTTTGAATAATAATAAAAAAACACTGCTTTTTCTAACTACTGTTTTTCTGGGTTTAAATCTATACAGCAAGTGTTAACTCACGAAAAACGTAAAAAAAAATGATTCTCTTGAAAACAAAGTAAATGCTTTCACTTGCAAAACTAAAAATTCAGATGTGAGTTGAGATATGAAAGATATCAAATTCACTGTGGCAACTGATGTTTTTTTTCTTCTTCTTAGGCAATTGTTGGTTTCTGGCCTCTATTGGGGCTCTAACATTTCAAACCAAATTATTACATAAGGTCGTTCCAGATGGACAATCATTCAGCCACAATTATACTGGTTTATTTCACTTCAGAGTAAGTTCCTCTCTTTTCCATGACATAATTGACAGCATCAAAACCCCAAGCAATAGCAGTTCCTGTTTTGTGTTTCATTGTATCAGTTGTTCTATCACAGTTCTGCTAATATAAATTTACAGTTCTGGCGGTTTGGAAAATGGTATGATGTTGTGATTGATGATAAACTGCCGATAATCGGCTGCCAGCTGGTTTTTGTGAAATCAAAAACATTGAATGAGTTCTGGCCTGCCTTGCTGGAGAAAGCATATGCCAAGTAAGTGCCTGTACATCTTTTTCTGTGACTTTATAAAGTCTCATCAATAATACTAAACAATAGCGCCGATGTATTCAATATAAGCACGGCTGTAATTTGACCTGTGATTCATGTGCAGTAATTGTCCTCAAATTTATGTCTGTTACACTGTGGTAAACGATTTTGAGTTACAATGACTGTTCCAGGGTGTGCGGCTCCTACGCTGACATGCATAGTGGTCGAGTATCTGAGGCCCTCTTGGACTTTACTGGTGGGGTTCATATGCACTATGAACTGAAAACAGCTCCCACTGATTTGTGGGAGATAATGCACCGTGCTTACCAGTCAGAGGTCCTTATGGGTTGTGAAACTCCAGCAGGGGTAAGCAAAGAGTAATTATATCTTACCACACATGATAATTTTAAACTAAAAACATTAATATATTAAAGTAATCATTTAAATAAAGGATTTTTGTGATTCCTTTGATTATATAGATTAAATTTAAAGATGCTGTAAGCGATGTTAGCTAACTAGACCCTAAATTCCCCTACTTCACACACACACATACACACACACACACACACACACACACACTCTGCAAAACCCCTCCAAAATCTTTTCTCTTGTATGCCTAGACAAAAAAAAAATATATAATAATAAAAAAAATCACAAGGATTTCCAGCAACTTTAACACTTTTACATCTGTCTCCTGATAATTTTTGTGTTTCCACATAATCAGTATGAGAAACGGTTACCAAATGGCATAGTCGTGGGCCATGCTTACACCGTGACAAAGGTTTACCAGGTAAGACTGCACAAATTCAAGTCTCAGCGTGCATCAGATTATGTCATAAGATCCCAAAAATAATATTTTAAAGACAAAAGATAAGGCCTGGAGTCCAGTCAGAGATTTTTGCTTAAGTCTTACTGATTCTTAGTGTTCTGCTAAGACAGTAGTGAGAAAAGATAAAATCTCTTTGAATGGCTTGTAGAAATGTATTAAAAATCTAACCAGGGTTTAAACTTTTTAATGCCACAGACCCCAAAATCCTCTTGCAGTGGACCCTTCCCTCAAATCTAATGGCGGTGTTGCCAGGTCTGCAGTTTATCCATGGAATTGGGATATTTGTACACTATTGCTGTGGGTAGTTTTTTTAGTCCACAGGTTAAAG